ATTAATTAATTATTAAATTAATGCTGTTAAACGTTTAGAAACCAATAACCGTGTTTCCATCAAAGTTTTTTATGCACATTTTTGAAGTAGGGCATTATAAAACATGGATGGAAAGGGCAAAATTTGCAAAAACTCCCTAATGTTAGCAAAAATGTTTTTACGCTCGTTTAAGGTGGTTTTGGGATTTTTCCTAAAGAGTTAATGCGAAAAAGGGGAGAGTGAAACACATTTGCCGAATAAGTTCTGACATAGTGAACATTTAAATCGTTCAGCTGTTCCCGCTGTCCAGTAATGGTAGTGGCTGCAGCAGGACCCTCCCCCTGCTGTCGGCATCTTCCCGGATGTTCCCGTAGCATGAAGAGAATTGCATTTATTTCTCTATGTCTCCAGACAGCAGGAACATCACCATTACTAGTTGATATAAATAATTACAACTTTCCCGATAGTAGCAACACATTCCTGATAACTTCTCTCCATTGTCCTGAGATGTGTCCCTGTGAGTTTACTTCCTGTTTACAGGCATGCGTAACATCAACGTCTGACGTACTTACACTTTGTGTAGCCTGGCTGATTCACTTGAAGCCAGCAGATGTCAACATGTCTGTTGCACATTTCTTTTTTTTTTGCGACATTTTAAAATTCACTCAAAATTCACAYTAAAATTGATGGAAACATGGCTAGTATTTGTTCATGCACTGTGTATGCGGAATAATTGTGGCGTCATGTCTGCAGATACAGACATAGTTTATGTCTTGCAGGGATTTCCTTAATATAAAACCTTCATGTTTGAATTGAACTTTAGGGACTTACTCGTAGGGAAACTTGCACTGCAGTGTTTGTAATATTTTTGGTGTGTTTGCACAGCCAGGCTGCAAGAAAGACAGCAATGCTGAATATTTTTTACTATGGAGTACAGAAAAGTTCATGTTTGGGGAATTTAATTTAACTGATGGGTGACATGCATTCATGTTTTTACTAGTGCTGGACACAGATTAAAATTTGTAAGAGTGACTAATCCCCAAATGTTCGTGCTATTAATTGTGATTTATCTAGATTTATTTTCTTTATTAATTCACCCGCTTAGGATGTTATCATCCATGAAATTGGCGTTATCAGTCCCCTAGAATGGCTTCAGAATGTCCCGCCTGTGCCGTTTAGCAGGTTCCTGTCCCATATAATGACTTCCAATTGTCAGCTGGTTAATATGAGCCATTAAACCACTATCTGGTTAACATGAGGCATAAAAAAACTGGTTAATCTGAGGCTTAAAGCCACTAAGGTTAACTTTAGAGCAAATGACATGGTTAGCGCTAAAGACACCGACCTCCAACAGTTGTATATTGTGGCCTTCTAATAGGGCAATGGGTAGAGTGTTGGATCAGAAAGGGGGAGACCAGTGTTTGAGACCAACACGGACACAAAAAATTTATTACAATATCTTTTGGTTATTTACACATTCATTGCCATTGATATATTAACCCACTAAGGGGCACTGTCGGGACAGTCTGAAGCCTAGAAGGCACAGTAGGGACCCTCTGAAGCCATTGTATGGGACTGATAACGCCTAATAACGTCCATTTCATGGACTGATAACATCAGAATCCCCTGACTAATTGGCCAAACCACCCTTAATACACCAGATCTCATCTGATTTGGAAGATAAGCAGAGTTGGGCCTGATTAGTACTTGGATGGGAGACTGCTTGGGAATATCAGGTGCTGTAAAACCAATGTTTGTATTTATTTACTGTTTTTTATTTCAAGTACAGTTTTATTTATTTATAGAAGTGCAAAGCATTTTTAATTGTTTTTATTAAGCTACGCAATGGCTCTACAACAAAGGCTCTCATTAGTTGAGACGTGCGAAGATGTCAATCTAAAGTCAATAATGATTAAGACCCCCCACACCCACACAAACACA